CAAAATTGCAATTCCCATACAACCACAGATTGGCTTGTAGGGCTTATATTAACAATCTCCCACTGACACTAAAGTTGTCATTTATGTATCTTATACCAATGTTCTCAACACGATGATTATGCTTCTATTGGGACAATGTTTTAGTGAGACAATCAGCAATACACTCTATGCAAATGTCTCTTCTTCCAATGATCTCCCTGATCACATGGTAACATCGCAATACATTTTTAGATTTCTTTTAAGACCTTGGTTTCTTTGCTCGTGCAATGGCTCAATTATTATCACAATACAAATGTATTGGATCAACAATGCTAGAAACCACATCTGGCTCAATAATAAACTTCTTAATCTAAATAGCCTCTTTCATTGTCTTAGACATAAAGATGTATTCAGCTTTAATTAAAGAATCTGTAACCGTCTCTTGTTTAGAACTTTTCCTACTAACTACCCCTCCATTGAGTATGAATACATATCCATTTTACAACTTGCTATCGTCTCTGTTAGTTTGAAAGCTTGCATCAGCATAACACCTCACTTAGAGTTCGCCTCCTCTATAAACCAGAAATACATCTTTAGTTCTTTGTGAGTAATTTAGGATGTTTTTCACAGTTATCTAGTGATGTTTACTAGGATTAGCTTCGTATCTACTCATGACACTCAGAGCATAAGATACATCTAGTCTAGTGTAAAGCATCACATACATGATAAATCCTATTATTGAAGGATATGGGATCTTATCCATACAATCTCTTTCATCTTGACTTTTTGGACACATGTCCTTGGAGAGAAAGATGCCTTGCTACATAGAGAAGTGTCCCATCTTGAACTCCATCATGATAAACTTTTTTAGCACCTTGTCTATGTATGAGGATTAAAAGAGACTTAGCAACGTTTTAGGTCTATTTTTATAGATCTTTATTCCCAAAATGTAGGTTACTTCTCGCATATCTTTCATGAAAAATTTGTTTGGATAGCCAAATCTTTGTAGATTGTAGTAATGGTATATCATTTCCTATGAGTAATATGTTATCAACATAAAATACTAGGAAAATGATGGTGTTCCCACTAGCCTTCTTATAGACACATGGTTCATCCTCATTCTTGACAAAGTCAAACTGTTTTACAACTTAATCAAAACGAATGTTCCAATTTCGAGAAGCTTGCTTAAGGCCATAAACAAACTTTTGAAGCTTGCACGCCTTTTTATTATTAGCAATGGATATAAAACCTTTAGGTTGTGACATGTACGCTTCCTCTTGCAAATTCCCATTAAGGAACATCGTTTTCACATTTATTTGCCATATTTCAAAGTCAAGGTATACAACAATTACACGCAAAGTC